GGTCTGCCCGGACCCCCGCGGCTCCCGCGCTCCTCCCGCCGCCCCCGCCGAAGCCAAAACCCGCGCTGCCCCCCGTCTCCCCTTGGGAAGCAGGAGTTGGTGCTCAAGTGGGCAAGGGTGGCTAAGGCTGCCCCTTATTCCACAGCCACCACCACCAGCCGTCTTCTCCTGTCCCCTGAGGACACCACATTCTTCTCAGGATCCCGGGATCCTCCGGCAGGATGGGTAGAAAACAGAAGTTGTCCTTCAGAGTCAAGGATTTTTATGTAATGGCATGAAATCCGAGGGCTGAGGCAAGGGAACTAGCCCCATGATCACTGCGCTCCTGAGAAGGTCCCGAGGGTGAGGAAGGCTCAAGTTCTCCTCTTGGTGTAAGAAACCATGTCCACTACCTCTAGCCCTAGAACTCCTTCTGGTGTTCCTGGCAATGTCTTCCCATGGCCATCATAGCTCCCCTGGTTCACAGCTCCTCTCTACAGTCAGAGACCAAGGGATAGAACCAAAGGACATGAGGTCCCCTGGAAAGCCAGACCACTGCCAAAGACAAAGGTGTCCTTTAATGAAGACACCTGATGGGATATGCACGAGCTCACAGGCAGTTATTTCTGAAGAACACTTGTGGTTGCCCCCCAATAAGAGGTTTAAGGGCAGGGTATGCAAGATTGTGTAGCTACTGACATCACAGAACTGAGAGGTAGGCAGATTTTGAAAATACAGGTCCTTTTCAAGCTGAAAAAATGACATTTTCCCCTCTAGCATCTCATCTAAAAGTAGTATTTTCCAAAGAGCTTCTTTTTAGGGAACTGCAAAAATGAGTGCCATGAGAAAAGCATTACTTCAGAACATGTGATAAGCAAGGGCTCAGAGAGCTGCAGCGGTACCTATAAGGTCAGCCTCTGGCTCTTCAAGGTTGTCTCTGAGGACATCACAGGCTGCAGCACCCTGTCAATATCCACAGTCCAAGAGTACCACTGGGTGGGACACAATCAAATCCAATGAGCAATCATAGCCACGCCATCCAGCATGTCATTTATCTGCTCCATGCAGACCTCCACAACCCATCATTCCTTCTATCATAGGGAGCCTTTAACTATCTTTGTTGTATCATGGGGCTGCAAAAGGCAGAGCTTTGACTGGCAGCAGCTGGAGCTGGTTCAACTGTTGCCTTCTTCATACTCCTCCATATGAGAGCCCTTCTGAGCTGCTTCTGATCCCCAACACCAAGCTCACTTCACCATGTCCAGACTGATATCTTCCAGACTGTGTGATCAACAGCTAATCAACTCATTTCAGGCCCTGCACCACAAGCTGGTACAAACTTTCATTTTCTGAGCCTAAATTCTGGTTTGATGGCAGACAGTATTAGCCAGACTCTTCCACTGGCATGCCAACCGTCCATATAATTGTCAAGTAAGCCTATGAGGAGATATGCTGAGTGGATTGGTTCTGACTGATTGCCAGCCATGACAGCCTCTAGTCTTCAGGAAGCATCTGGTTGTGCCAGAGCCATAGATAGGAATCACACCCACTTGATGTGGTCCACACTCATAATAGTCACAAGGAATAGTATTCCAGCCTATTCTAGGGCTTCAGTTAGTAGCTACTAGCACTAATAATTCACTGTTTTTTTCTTTTGTAATCATGCTATAGGGGTGATGCCTAAGTCAGATGCTGACTTTGCACAACAGTACTGTATTGTTGAGACACGAGCCTGTAGGAGGTGAGGATGCTAGCATAAGGCAGGGGATAAGGTGTGATATTGGGAGGACACTGTCTTTGTTCCTGCCCCTTGCTGAGTGGCCAGTGCTGCAGAACAACATCCCTTCTGGGGTATTACACTTGGCTTTGCTCCTTGATTTAGAAGACGCAGAAACAGACTACCAAGATGATGCTGCTGCTCACCAGCAGGTAGGTCATCTTCTCCATATCAGCCAGAGCTGCAGGAGTGGCATGATTTGTCTGAAAAAGTGGTTACCACTGTGCCATTGGATAACACAGGCCTGGCTGTGTGAAGCCCAAGCCCAATAGCTAGTGGCAGTGTCCCCAAAAGGATGTGATGGGTAGTCAAACCAAGGGGTTAAAGGTAGAGTGCCCTGGGAAAGCAGCTCAGTGTTTACAGGTAAGCCTGAGCCTGTGGCCCTGGTGTACTGTAGGGTACATGGTGTAGATGTAGGAGGCCCAACAGAGGTATTTCTCTGTCCTCCTTGCTTCAGGTTTGAGGATATAGTATTCAAAACATCTCCTTCTCAGTGGATGAGAGGGTTTGCACATCAGAAGATTATCTCATGGCTTCTGAGGCTGTAAAGCAGACTTCTTTCCAATGACCTCCTGCAACACACTATATTCAAGCCAGGAGTCTCTCTCCATGAGAGGATGTTGACATCTTTGACCGTGCTGCAGATCTACCATTTCTTTACTTTGCTCTCTGGATTTATTATCCAGCCCTCTTGTAACCCAGCTGAATCAAGCAGGCAGCAAGCAGGTGTTAGTTTTGGCATTCTGTGGTCCTACGTGTGTTCTGCCCTTAAGCAAAGAAAGGCACAGACATCCTCCCAAGGAAAAAATGGTACCAGATATTTCCCAGCCCCTACCTAACATGAAGAGGATTGCATAGAGCATCTGAAGGGGAACGCCACCAGTGGGAGCACTGGAGCAGGACTGAGGGCACAGCTGTATTGTTCAAATCAGGTGGGTCTATGGGACATGTATTAGAGTTGGGCTGCTCCAGTTGGGCATATCCCCAGCTAACCAGCCTTGCTATATCAGCTGAAGTACTCTCCTAGTAGCCCAGATGGTGTTATCGGGGCAGGGGGAGGAAATGAAAACATGGGAGATGTGCCTTGAATGTGCCACAGGGAACTCCCAGCCACGCACCCTGGGTAGAAGATTCTTTGTCAAGAAGACACTGAAATGATCAGCTTCCTTATAAATGATCCTCAATCATCTCTGTCTATCTGTGCTTTGCCAGATAACTCTCTTCCCACCAGTGGCCTGTTCATAACAGATGTTTCAGAGAGTAGTTTCCAGCACTTGCCAGCTACCTTCCAGATGTGGTTTCTAAGTAAAAGCTTCCCTTCTGGTGGGACAGTAAGCCAGCAGAACCTGCTCCAGCACAGCACAGCATGGCACAGCAGTGAGCCTGCCCAAGTATGTTCATCATGCAGAGATGATGTTTGGATGCCAGGAAGTACTGGGGTAATGTCCCCTGCTTAATCTTAGTTCTGATGTGTGGGGCCATATGGTGTTATTAGAGAGGCACTAATTACATGTTTATGTGATCTTTTTCAGATAATAATTCAAAGACGTTTGTTGAGCACTAGTACACTTCCATAAATATCACAAAGAAGTTTTCTTCATTCTTTTTAACCCTATTTTCATTTTCATTCAACATGTTGTTGTAGCTGTGGATTATTTCCTATGATTTCAATACAAGAAACTTGCCAATTTTTCTGAAGTCACCCATAATTCTAAGGGAAAACACTGAAATGGTGCTTTACCTCTTACACCAAAGTCTGAAAGCCAAGAAATTTTAAACTTCATGAACTGGTGGCACACAATATATGTCTTAGACACTGTGTTGATAAAAGCCTGAAGTATGTCTGCAAGTTGCTATCTTTTCTCATCTCCCCATTAAATACTGAAGGCCTTATCTATCAATCTTGTTTCAGCTAAAAATGCTTGCAAGACAGCAAGGGTGCTTGAAAAGGGACTTGTTCTCAGAATGCTTTTAATTCTATAGGTTTGTTAATTTTTCTTAATAGCTAATTAACTTGAATGTCTGAGGTTTCTTGCTTTCCCTGAAGAAGCTCCAAGTTCCCATGCCAAAAAAAAAACCAAAAAACCCCACAAAACCCTGAAGTGCTCTTCAGCAAGCCAGAACAGAGAAAACTTGACTTTTCTGATTGTTTGATTTTTTTTTTTTTTTAAAGTTTAAATTGATTTGTTAAGACTAAAATTTCTGGTCTTCTTCCTACACCAGAAAACTGCCCAGAAGGAGTGGGGGAGACTTCCTAGGAGGATATCTTTAGAGGGGAACAAAAGAAGAGCAGCTGCTGGATTGCAGATCAAACCCTAGGAAGGGTCTCTAGCAATCGTTTTCCTGCCTTCTCGCCCAGAAGAGACAGGTCGGCTCTGCCCGGCTAAGATGTGACAGCCCCCCAAAAGCATTCCTCGGGGCCTGTGTTCGCACGGCCGGGGGACCAGCAGTTCGGCGGCAGCTCGGCAGCAGAGGGCAGCAGGCGCCGGGAGCCTGGGCCGGTGCCAGGCTTTTTGCAGCCGGGCTTTATCTTCCCTCCCTCCACTTCTCCCCACCGACCCGACCGGCTCCCTGGCTTCCTTCTGACCGCCGCTCCGGAGCTCCGGCGGGGGCAGCGGGGAGGACGGGCAGGCGTGCGCGCACGGCGGGCGAGCGCATGGACATGTGAGTGGAGGCATCTGGGGATGTGGGAGGCGCAGCCATATCTTTGCAGGGTGGGAAGAGGAGGGTTAGACCCTTCCAGGAAGGAGAAGAGGTCAAAGAGGCTAAGCTCATGCTCGCTGTTCCTGCATTAAAGCTTTGCTAGCACATAGGATTGAAGAAGAAGGATCTTCCTGGATGATGTTTTCATGAGATCTGGGTAGTGAGCTTGTTTTGGAGAAATACTGATAGTCCCATTCTCCAGAAGGGAAGAGGGGAGATCCACAGAACGAGAGAAAAGATTAGTGCAAACTTTTGGAGGAGAGAGATCAAGGCATGACTGGGTAAAGGGCTGCCCGGAAAGCACTGCAGG